TGCTTCTCCTTGCAGCGGACCTGCTCCCCTGGGATCACGGCGAACCCCATGGCTTCCTCAGAGCTCTGGGCTGTGGGCAGCTTTACGTGCCTGCTTGGTAGAAGAGCCTCCCGAAGAACAAGGACGGTCCTCGGCTGCTTTGTCTCCTGTCCGTCCGGCAGTGTGAATGTGCGCTCTTAAACTCTGGCCCAACCATGTGGGGTGTGGTTTGGTTTGGGGCTTTGTAGCTTCTAGGTCACCAAGTGCTTAATGGGACCTTTTACATCCCAGGCTCATATCTGCCAGTTCTGTAGTAAAAATATATCTACTCATTTCCCCCACGTCCGTGTGTTTATCTTTTAATCTACATGTACTGATTGGTGTTATGTTTCCTTACTCCCTCCTTCCCTCCTGGGAGTGTCCCTCCTTCAAATTGGGGTACTAGATCTTCAACATAATGTTCATGACTGCTGGTCTGGTCTGAAACTCGCCGTGTGAAAACAGGTATGTGGCATGGGTATTGATGTGTTCCGGAAGGGAAGGAGACCTAGACCCTGCAGCTTAGGTGGCAAAGTTTATGAAATACATCATTTCAGATTGGTTTAAGCAGAGTCCATTGCTCAGCTGTTTAAAGCAGTTGATCATCCCCATTCCTGACTTACTCCTTCCTTATACAACATTTAGTAGATCCTGAAATTAACCGGGTATAGTTCAGTTCATCCTGGCTTATGGATCAGTGTATCAGGCCAGAGGGATAAGGTGTGGGCAGGGCTGAGTGAAGGACACCCAGCTATAGATAGAATTATCTCTTATTTGAAAACCTAGACTCTGTCAGGGGGACGGCTTGCAATTTTTAAAAGATAAATATTTTTAAAATTAATTTGTGTGTGTGTGTGCATGTGTGTGTGTGTGTGTGTGTGTGTGTGTCTGTATGTGCATGTGAGTGCTGATGTGGTGTCCACAGAGGTCAGAAAAGGGCATCAGAGTCCCTGGAGCTAGAGGTACAGGCATTTGTGAGCTGCCTGATATGGATGCTGGGAATTGAAAGACTAGCAAGTGCTTATAAGTGCTGAGCCATCTCCCCAGCCGGTATCATCATCTTTGTAATCCCTACGCTACTGCAAATATAGTAAAACATTGACAAGTGGTTATTATTTAATCAGTTTTTGTGGTTATTACCCATTGTGCAATGAGCATTTAATCATGGCACATCAGAATAGATTTATTTCCACGGGAAGCCTATCTTGTTCTTCCTGTAGTCATTTTGTTGTTTTAACATTTTATATGGAATATGTGAAGCATAGGAGCCCTTTCTTACTAACATTGCTGCTGCTTTCAGCAGAGTGGAATTGCATGTGAGACGTGCATCTGAGTCTGACATCAGAAAGGGAAAAGCATCTGAGCTCTCCCATCCTTTCCTTCATCAAAGCGCAGAAATTCCGGAATATTCCATATTTGTATAATGTTTATGACACAGCTCATTTTGTGGAATTGGATGTCGCTTATGAAAGCAAGCTGCTATGTTTTACCTCTAATTGAATATTTAAAATTTCAGAAGAATTTACTCGTCAATAAAATGAAAGTGTGTGTGTGTGTCTGTCTGTCTGTCTGTCTGTCTTTCTGTCTGTGTTAAAT